GAACCCACCGCTGCAGACTGCAGTTTGCTCTATAGTGGCCTGGATAGATGTGCGGGCCCAGTTGCTCATGTAGACAGCTGTGGGGTTGAGCTGTCCCTGTACGTAGCAACTCTCTCCCATACCAGAGTGCATCTTGGGGAGATTGGACGGACGGTGTTGTGTCTGGAGAAAATGAGGATGGTCCCCGGTGCAGAGCCCCTACAGTTCTCTGGTATGGCTGGGAAAGAAGCCTGATGGCACCTGTTGAATGACTGTGGATTGCAGAGAACTGAATGACTCCTCTGTCCTACTCCGCAGCGCCAGCTATAATGGATCTTGTGGACCGCTGACTCTGTTGTTAGGGTGGAGACCACTGTGTAGTGGCCTGGCACTAGATTTGGCTGCCTGGGGCAAGCCTCCATGGCACCAATGTTCCATTGTGTTAATAATGTTGTATGAACTTCTGGTTCTCTTGCAGATTTGAATGCAGCTGCCATTCGTCTATGGCAGACTTTGGACTCGTGGGGTATTGACAAGTGTCCATCCCTCACATAGCACAGTTGTTACAGATCTATATTGGTCTATAGACCTATGTTGATCTTTTGGGGTATTGGCGAGTGTCCAGTCTCCACTTGGTGCAGTTGTTGCAGACCTATATTGGTCTAGAGACCTATGTTGGTCTTTTAGGGTACTGGGAAGTGTCCAATCCCCACTTGGCACCATTGTTACAGCCATTGTGTCAGTTGTCCTGAAAGGGGATGATGTAGGGTTGAGACCCAGAAGTAGAGAAGGGTACCTAGCTGCCAAGGGGGCAGTCGTCCAAATGTGTGGAGAAGGGTACACACCAGGTTTTGGACCCAGTTATGGAAAACTGGGAGCCAATACTCTCTTGTTGAGAAACAGCTGGCAGCCATGTGTGCTGCCTTGCAGGCCTGTGTGAGCATGCCCATGTCGGGTGTGGCACAAACCCCAACTTTAGCAAAGTAGGGGCCTAGTTGGAACAGAGGGCAGCAGTGAGTACCAGCCCTCTGTCACAGTAATTGCAAGCCCTGTGGGGTCCTGTGACATAAGAGACACTGTCAAGGGATGAGACTCCTATGAAGGAGGTACTCCCTAGTTCATTCTAGGGGGTCCGCCACCTCTCCCAGAGATCATGTAGTATATAGATGGGTCTAGTAAGGAAGAACCTTTCTACATGGACAACTGTAACTGTCCGTCTGGATACTGATTAACTATGTAGTTCAACTCAGATATTGGGCTAAGTAGGCCTTAGAACAGACAGCTGGACTGTCTTTATAGGCTTAACTATGTAGTTGCCATGATGGCACAAGCAATAGTGGCTAATAGGCAATCTCCCCATGTGGGGTCAGGAAATGTGAGCTCTACCTAGGAGTGGACCCATGTAGACTACAGTACGGGCCATGCAAGTCCTTTCCCATGACCCACTCCGAGACTGGTGGGATGGATTGTTAGGAGCATAGCATTGGGCATTCTTGAGTTTTACTATCAGGGCCGGAGTACTGGTCCTCATATAGTACAGTTTGTATTATTGTTGTAGGCTCTGAGTTCAAGGAGCTGGCAAATAAGCCAGGGTACCCCTAGAAGACCATCTGGTGTGAGGGGTGGAGTGTGGGAACCCTAATCAGAGTACACCGGATGTTCAAGGCCAATTTGCCATATGCATGTGCAAAGGTGATGACACAGCAGTTTTACTGTACGTAATGTGCAGGCAGACTTTTCTTTAACCCAAATATTGATGTCACTATTTGGCAAGAAGCCTCTTTTGTCTGCATTAGTATAAAGATGTGTTACCGACCAGCCGGCTACTTTGTGAGGCTCCTTTGAAGAACTGTTTTGTCTGATAACTCCTTGGTAGCAATGGCTACTTGGTCTGCAATAAAGCCTTTCCTATATACCTGTGACTTCTCATGTCTTCTCTAATACTTGGCGTCCAAGGGAACTTGCTCCACAGTTAGTGTAGTCGAGCAGGATTAAGGACCTGTGCTCCCACAGTGGGTCCTTTTTTTTTAGTATAGTTGGTATATATTAGTTGTTTTTCTGGTGTACAATATAGTAATTCAACATTTTTATACCTTAAAATGTGATCACCTCAGTAATTCTAGTAATCAATCATCAGTCAGCATGTCAATTTATCACAATATTATGGACTATATTCCCCTTCACCTTTTTCACCCATCCCCCTACCCCACCCCACCCTCCTCTGGTAACCATCCCTTCAGTCTGTTTCAATGTGGGTCATCTTATGACAAATGGGAACAAATGAGTGATAGAATTGTGTTGTTGTTTTTCCCTGCCTCCCTTTTGTTCTGTTAGTTGTTTGTAGAGCCGGTTTCATGACAATGGATTTTGGCTCAGGGAAGTCCAAATTTCAACAAGAAATCCAACTTTGGCTTGCTTAAATCCATTCAGCCTTCCTCTGTTCCCAGCACTAAGTTCTAAGGATGAAGAAATCCATTTTAATTCCATTCTTGTAAAATAACTGCTAAATAAACAAGCCAGTTAGTTTATTTGGCTAAGACTGTAGGGTTAATAATGTCCAAACCTTATATAATCTACTCCTTTTCATAAATATCATAATAAAATGGTGACCTCATGGAACCAATCAGAAGTCCCAGATTCTAGACCAAGTTCTATCACTAACTAGTTTTGTGGGCAAGCTAGTTAATTTCTTTGGGCCTCAGTTTCCACATGTATACAAAATCAGGGATTGCTATATATTACAATATTCCAAATGTCCTATTTTTACAGGATGTTAGTAGCCATTATTTATTCAATTAAGTTTAAGAAATACTAACCTAAGTAAAGTTCTAAATGTTTATTTCAGGACTTTTTAGCATCTTTATGCTGTGCCCTTTGAATCTCTAATAGGGGAATATAATGTGCAGCAAACTCATTTCACCATTAACTAGTATTTTCATGAAACATGTGTCCCCCTGAATATACTTTTGGGAAATGTACTATTATTTCTAGCATCACAAATGAGTAAATTTATGTCAGGGTCCCAGAAAGAAACAGAGGGCAACTTCAAATGGGGACATTTAAGTAAAAGAATATACTAAATGACTATTTACAAAGATATGGGCAGGGTTTATGGAAACCCTGGAGCTAATAATACCCGGGAGGCGTTACTATTCCTAAGTGAACAGGGGCAAAGGGGGGGACCTGAAATGCAAAAGTGTAGCTGCAATAACTGAAGAATGGCCTTCAATAGAGGATAACTACGGTGCCCTGGCAGGAAAGGAGGCCGGGGAAATACACACAATTTCATTTGCTTTTCAACCTCCAATCTCTCGCTGGTGCTTCTCACTTGTTCAAACCAACCAAAAGCCAGAGGGTAAAGGAACCTACCTACCTGAGAGAACTGAGAGAAGAATGGAAGAGTGGAGGGGGCATCCAGAGGGGCCCGCAGAAGCTACCAGCACAGGACTCCGTTCACAAGCAGGTAGATTAGGTGACTAAACGATGTCCTCAGGACTCAGTCTCTATCTCTCCGCTCTGCTTTCCTTTGCTTTCCTTGGCTTCATTCTAAGGCAGGCTCTTGCCACCTGCAGCACAGACGCCAGCAGCAGCTCTAAGGTTATCTCATTTAGTTTACAATTCCAAATAAAATAAAAGGGTAAAGAAAAGACTTACTGTAGGCCAGGTGCTTTTGAAAGCCATTTAGATACATCAACTCAAGTTAATTCTCGTAAGTATCCTATACTAGTAAGGTAGCTATTGTATTACCTTACCTTTAGAGATGAAGAAACTGACATATGACTGGTAAGTGGAAAAGGAAAGCTGAAATTTAGATTCAGATAGTCTACCTCTAGAGTTTGCGCCTTTAACCACTGCACTTAGTGCTTCTTGATAAATAAGCCCTATCTTCTAAGCATCCACACCATTTATCAGAAAGGATGCTGGGTCATGTGCTCACCACTGAATCAACCACCTGAGCCATGTGTCCAAGCCTACAACAGGAGCCCATGACTGCTAGGAATTTCTCCCTAAAAAAGATGCCAGACAGATATACAAAGCAACAATTGTCCATCATAGGCAGTGTGGACGTGAAATAGTTCTAGGGGCTGGAACTACAATTCTAGTTCTGCCTGTGTTTGCCATTAACTTCAAATTACCTATCACTTCACTGTCAGCAAGGAGATTCTGATCCCATTTACCTCCAAACGTGGTAGTGAGAATAAGTGGAAAGATACAAGGATCTTAAAACAAATATCTAAATATATCGAATTAAATAGATATAAATATAACACATTATTATAGTAAAATATAGTAGTAAGATTGAGATATGCCAAACTTGAGCTAATAACTTCTTAAGCTAATTTTTCAGTCAACATTATCTCTGAAAATTTCCTTAAAAATGACATCCTTTTAAAAATATATGAGGTAAGCCCTAACCGGTTTGGCTCAGTGGATAGAGCGTCGGCCTGCGGACTCAGGGTCCCAGGTTCGACTCTGGTCAAGGGTATGTACCTTGGTTGCGGGCACATCCCCAGTGGGGAGTGTGCAGGAAGCAGCTGATCAGTGTTTCTCTCTCATCCATGTTTCTAATTCTCTATCCCTCTCCCTTCCTCTCTGTAAAAAATCAATAAAATAGGAAAAACCTCGCATAAGGGTAAAATCGTCCGGAGGAAAAAGTAGAAGGATGGCGTTTACTTTTACTGAAAAAGTTAAAATTCTCTTTTATTCTAGTGAAGGGAAAGAGAAAGAAAAAAAAATCCTGCTAGCAGAGAATGGTTTCAATCCATTGACCTCTAGGTTATGGGCCCAGCACGCTTCCACCGCGCCACTCTGCTTCTGCGGGTGCAGACGGCTCCTGATTCCTATAGAAAGTTTCCTACGTGATCTCTGTCCTAATCGCTTTACACAGCGCCGTCTAAGTTTTGGTAAAAAGAAAAAAAAATCGTCATTACTGTCTAGTCTAATCTGATTGACTAGTTCCTGACGCAGCAGGGATTTTTAATTGGTTTACAAGCCCGTTTTCTACGGTAAACCAATAGGCATAAGCGGAGGAGTAAGGCGGGAGCCAATCGCGCCGTGGTGTGTTGGCATCCCGGCAAGCCGCTTGGAAGAGAGGGGTGGTTGGTGTGGCTTCCATTGTTCAGGATCTGGGGCGACAGAGGCCGAGGTCCTGGCGGGCGCTTTGGTTCCCGAGGAGGCCCTGGGAGGAGGGTTCAGGCCCTTGGTGCCCCACATCCCATTTGATGTCTATTTGTGTGAAATGGCCTTCCCTCGGGTTAAGCCAGCACCTGATGAGTCTTCCTTCAGTGAGGCATTGCCGAAAAGAAATCAGGACCTTGCTCCTAATTCTGCTGAACAGGCCTCTATCCTTTCTCTGGTGACAAAAATAAGCAATGTGATTGACAATTTGATTGTGGCTCCAGGGACATTTGAAGTGCAGGTTGAAGAAGTACAACAGGTTGGATCATATAAAAAGGGAACAAGGACTACAGGACATCATGTGGCTGACCTGGTGGTCATCCTGAAGATTTTGCCAACGTTGGAAGCTGTTGCTGCCCTCGGGAACACAGTCGTGGAAAACCTCAGAGCACAGGATCCATCTGAGGTTTGGACCATGCTGACCAATGAAACTGGCTTTCAGATCAGTTCTTCTGATGCTACAGTGAAGATTCTCATTACCACAGTGCCACCCAACCTCCGAAAACTGGATCCAGACCTCCCTTTGGACATCAAGGTGTTGCAGAGTGCCTTAGCAGCCATCCGCCATGCCCGCTGGTTTGAAGAAGATGCTTCTCAGTCCACAGTTAAAGTTCTCATCAGACTTCAGAAGGACCTGAGGATTCGTTTTCCTGGCTTTGAGCCCCTCACACTCTGGATCCTTGACCTACTCGGACACTATGCCGTGATGAACAACCCCACCGGACAGCCTTTGGCCCTACATGTGGCATACAGGCGTTGCTTGCAGATTCTGGCTGTGGCTGCAGGACTGTTCTTGCCAGGGTCAATGGGTATCACAGACCCCTGTGAGAGTGGCAACTTCGGAGTCCACACGGTCATGACTTTGGAACAGCAGGACATGGTCTGCTTCACAGCTCAGACTCTGGTCTGAATCCTCTCACATGGTGGCTTTAGGAAGATCCTTGGCCAGGAGGGTGATGCCAGCTGTCTTGCTTCTGAAATATCTACCTGGGATGGAGTGATAGTGACACCTTCAGAAAAGGCTTATGAGAAGCCACCAGAGAAGGAAGGGGAGGAAGAGGAGAATACAGAAGAACCACCTCAAGGAGAGGAGGAGGAAAGCATGGAGACTCAGGAGTGACTCCCTTCTCTCCACCCTTCTTACCCACGGGGAAGATGGAGCCTGAGATAACTGCTACTGGGCTCTATATGGTGGCATTTCTGAGGGCTGGGGGAGACAGGAAAGAAAATAAAAAACTATGGAAGGAAAAAAAAAATCAATAAAATATATTTTAAACATATGAGGTAAAATAAATAAAGCCTTATTTTTTAAAGTGGTCTTGCAGACATGACACATGAATATTCCCCAAGAATAAACAAAGCACAATTACAAGTTTATTGATTTTAACAAAATAAAGAAACAAAAGTGGCTTCTTAAAAACTAATGAGTAATTTTTCTTGTTTCCTTGTCTCCAGAGCATTTGGCATTCTTTATCAACTGGTACATAAAAGAGTAGAAAAATAGAAGATTGTCATATTGTCCTTTGTATTTCTCTTCTAATATATCAGTATGGTAGTCTACCAGAAAGTAGTAGATGGCTTCAATTGTGGAAAGGAAGGTATCTGGCTTTCCTTTTTGATGGCGCCAAAAGCAAGTTTTTCTTGTTTTCAACTCAACTTGTAGCAACCCTGCCAAAAACAAATAAGAAAAGTATAAATATATATACATTTTATTCTCACCCAAGGATGTTTATTGATCCTAGACAGAGAAGAGGAAGGGAGGGACACAGAGAAAGAGAGAGAGAGAGAGAGAGAGAGATTGGTTGCCTCACATATGCACAATGACCAGGGATTGAACCCACAATCTAGGTATGTGCCCTGACCTGGAATCGAACCCGCAACCTTTTTGGAATACGAGACAACATTTCAACTAATTGAACCACTCACCCACGACTAAATATTTCTTAATCACAGGGTGTGGTACAATTAAATGATTTCTATTAAATTTTTTTTTTAACGAGCACAGATTAAACCCCTTGCTCCCAATTTAAAGTAAGATATTTTTGCCCTAGCCAGTTTGGCTCAGTGGATAGAGCATCAGCCCACAGATTGAAGGGTCCTGGGTTTGATTCCAGTCAAGCGCACGTATCTTGGTTGCAGGCTAGATCCCTGGCCCCAGTCTGGGCTTGTGTGCAAGGCAACCAATTGATGTGTCTCTTTCACATTGATGTTTCTCTCTCTCTCTGTCTCTCCCCCTCCCTTCCACTTTCTCTAAAAATCAATGAAAAAATATCCTTGGGTGAGGATTAACAAAAATAAATAAAATATTTTCTTAAATGCTTTAAAGTATATACAGAAGCAATATAAAACACAGATTGAAATCTTATACCTGTAAGTCTTGGACCCAGTAGCAATGGGTAAAAGTAGTTAATATTTAAGGGATTCATCTCTCTCACTCTCCTCTCTCTCCCTCTCTCTCTCTCTCTCTCTCTCTCTCTCTCTCTCTCTCTCTCTCTCTCTCTCTCTCTCATCTTCATCCCAGGAGTGAGGATATTTCTTTCCCATTAATTTTTAGAGAGAGTGGGAGGAGGGGAAGGGAAGAGAGAAATATTGCCATGAGAAAGACACTTTGATTGGTTGCCTCCTGCTTGAGTCCCAACCCAGGCCTGGATTGAACCTGCAACTAAAATATGTGCCTTTGACTGGGAATTGAACCCACAGCTGACACTCTAACCACTGAGCAACCAGCCACAGCAAAAGTCATCTCTTTCTGCTACCTACCACTGTCGTTTTTTATTTAAACTTGTGACAGGACTAAATTCACCAGTTTTCAGAAGGGTTTCATTTCCTTGATAAATTAACATTTAAAACATCATTCTGAAACTCACTAAGAAATAGGCAGGTTAATGGTCTTGAATGCATCTAGAAGTATTGAAAATGTTGTAAGCAATTAGTACAATTAAAATCTTAACATAGGCGGTGGGGACCACTTTGTAAAGTATATGATTGTCTAACCACTATGCTGTACACCTGAAACTAATATAAAATAATATTGCATGTAAACTGTAATTGAAAAATTTTAAAAAAATCTAAACGTAGAATTTTGACATCATCAATGTGATTTATAAAAAGAAACAAACTAAGAGCAACTATTATAATAATGCTAGTTTCTATAATACATCTAATATATTCTAAAAAATCTAATCTAATGAAAGGGTAATATTATGCAAATTAATCATCACTCTGACACAAAGATGGCAGCACCCATAGCATCCCATGCCCTGGCCGTGGAGGGAGGGAGGGCGGGCTGCGGACACAACGCAGGGCTGCTGAGCTGGGGGCGTGCCCCCGGCACCTGCAGCACGGCTCAGGCACGCCCCCAACCCAGCGGACACAATGCAGGGGGTCCTCTGCACATGAGCTGTAGAGGAAACACCTTTTCTGACCGCTCATTGGCTAAGCTCCCTGTACGCCTCCACTAGCAGTGTTCTTGGTAACTTGGGTAACAAGAATCCAAGAAGGTGATCTAGGGTTTTCCCACCACACTCCTGGAGGAAAAAACGAAGGTCCGCTGCTGGAGGGACTAAGAAATGTCATATCCTGCCCTAGCCAGTTTGGCTCAGTGGATAGAACCTCGGCCTGCCGACCGCAGGGTCCGGGTTCAATTCTGATCAAGGGCATGTAGCTAGGTTGCAGGCTCCTCCCTGGCCGGGCCCAGGTCAGGGCTCATGCAGGAGGCAACCAATCGAAGTGTCCCTCACATTGATGTTTCTGTCTTTCCTCTCTCTTCCAAGCTCTCTAAAAAATCAATGGAAACACATCCTCAGGTGAGGATAAAGAAAAAAAAAAAAGAAAGAAAGAAATGTTATATCCTATGAAAGACACATCTTGAAAATGCCTAAAGAAAGTTGTCATTTTTTCATGGTGAAGGGACTGGAGTCCGTGTTGATGAAAACACCTTGGTGGCTGTGGCAGTGGCAGCAGCAGCAGGGTGATGGGGCTGGCGCCTTCCCCTGATCAGCCTGGTCACCTCCTGCAAAGGGAGGCCAGACTCCTGAGGGCTCCCAGTCTGTGAGAGGGGGCAGGCTGGGCTGTGGACCCCCCCACACCCCCACCCCCGGTGCACAAATTTCATGCACCAGGCCTCTAGTTAAATATAAAAACCAATATTTAGTGACTATCACCACTAATCTATCCTGTCTTAAAAATTTCCTTGGAAATATATAGACATATAGAACCTTTTAAATTACACTAAAATACACAGACATGAAATTAGTTAGAAAATTTATATTTTTAAAAGTTTGATATAGCCGGAACCAGTTTGGCTCAGTGGATGGAGCATCGGCCTGCGGACTGAAGGGTCCCAGGTTCGATTCCGGTCAAGGGCATGTACCTGGGTTGCGGGCACATCCCCAGTAGGAGATGTGCAGGAGGCAGCTGATCGGTGTTTCTCTCTCATCGATGTTTCTAACTCTCTATCTCTCTCCCTTCCTCACTGTAAAAAATCAATAAAAATGTATTTAAAAAAAAAAGTTTGATATATACATTTAAAAAAATTTCTTGCCAGTATTTCTGGCAATCAATAACTTTAAGATAAATACACAATTTATTTTAGCAGTAAAATTTGAAAGCAGGTAACTGTAGATGGCTTTTCCCTCTAAAATTATTGCCTGAATTTCTTCAACCAAAAAATGGGAATGAAAATCATATTGTTTTGAGGACGAAATAAGGTAATATACTAGTATGACGCGCATTCATTAACACACTAAGTATAGTTTGGGAAATGTTTATAATGTGAACAAATCTGTCAAAATGAAGGGATAGAGCTGGCAATTTTTAAAACAAATTATGATATAATTCCCACTTTAATCATCTGGACCCTCTCCCTAACAAAAAGAAAACCATCCTTCCCACCACATCCCCCAAAGCTTCCCATGGTGAATCTTCAAGAATGTGTGTCAGTTCATGTGTAGATTTACACTATATGATTAAATTAGACATTCAACCTTTAAATGTGTTATTTTGACAGTAGTAAAACACCCAGAGCTTTCCTCTGTAAAGTCTGGCAAAATGATGTTTTTACATTGTTAAGGGGATTCTTAACCTCAGCACTCATAGTAAGATAACAGAAACATTACTTTTTTAATACATTAATTTTGAGGGTTTAAACTGAGGTTTAGAGTTGTTCACATTAATCCCATGAAATGATAAAATGTTTTCAAGCCTAAAGGCAATGATTTATAACAAACATGAGTTGTTTCTTGTGGAAGTAATTGGGCTTATCTGGAAAATGGTATTTCACAAATACAGAGATTGTAAATAGGCACAGAGCCCGATTTCCCTGTGGTGAACGGTGGAGCCAGAGTAGGACATGCAGAGAAGACTGACTCTAGAAATCGGTTTATTTCATGATTTTGAAGGAATTGAGACATACTTTTTAAAAATGTAATGTATCCCAGAATTAAAATGGATGATACTTTCTATGTGATGTGGGAAGAACAAAAATTATTCTGTACAAATCTGATTTTAAGCCTTAAGCTCACATGTGGACGCTCTGAAAACAGATTTTGAATTTTACCTCAGAAATTCCTTATATAGATTTTTTCAAGTGTTTTCACTTAACGGTCTTTCATTGGATCCTTTCAATAACCATATAAAGAAAAATAGCTCAGAAAAATCTTCAAACTGGGGAGTAATTTGCTGCTGTAACCATCCAAGATAATGTGGCCAGCAGAATCCAAAGAGAAGGGTTTTAGGGTTCCATTTCTCTATTAAACATCAGCAACAAGATTCTTCCAGGTCATGTGCTCTACAGTCTCTCTCTCTCTCTCTCTCTCTCTCTCTCTCTCTCTCTCTCTCTCTCTCTCTCTCACACACACACACACACACACACACACACACACACACACACACAATTTCTCTGTATCTCTCTATCTTTCTCACACACATACACATAAGCACACACAGAACAGGAAAGCAATCTTACTAACATTTATGTTGATTTCACAGGTATGAACCATATAAATTGAGCTAATTAACTTTACTAATGTCACTCACTTTGGCTTGGTACTGATTAACACAAGTCAGACTCCGAAAAAAAAACGTGTCATAAACTTTCTTTTCTTAATGGTGTATTTTTGACAACAGCCTGGGAGAAGCTCTCCCAGGTTGAAACTCTTTTGGCAACTGCCTATTACCAACTAGGTTGGTAGCTAGCTCTCTTGTCTTATAATCGCATATGGTACACAGATAAAGCCACCAAAAAGCTGGAAATAAAACTAAAGCTTTTAGAAAAACTGAGAAAGCCTGAAGAACTGAGTAGGTGAAACAGCATGAGAGTTCATAAGAGCTCCTGTTCTTCATATTACTGGTTGTCGTACTTGGGGAAATAAAGCTACTCTTTTACTAATAAACCATTATTATTAGGAACTAATCTTTTCACTCCAAGAGAAAAAGAGATATAAAACAAGAAAGAAAATCACTGTAATGTTAAAGCTGCCTCTCTCTGCCTCTCTCTCTCTCTCTCTCCACACACACACACACACATTTTTTTTTCTTGGCTTTGTCCTTTGAAGCGATGACATCCAAACAGTAATAAATTTACCAGATCTTGATTTCTAATATCATTCCCCATTAAAAAAGCACCACAGTTCCTTTGAATGACTGGTTATTGGTCTGGGGCAGGGGAAAAGTGCAAGTAAACTTTGAATGATTAATTCTAGGTCTGAGGAAGGAAAAAGTGCTGAACCAGAAAGACTAATGAGGCCATGCCTCAAAGGACTTGAAGCGCTCCCACTGACAAAATCTGAGACAATCTGGGCATAAAAATATATATAATCATTATAGATTTTAACATACTGAATTAAAAAGGCATGTATCACACCACAGTGATCTCATAAATGGTACAAGGAGAGAAGACAAAAGAGAAGGAGAAAAAGGAAAAGCTCTTCCTTACATAAGAATGCCAGCCAACAAATATAGAAGAAATAATAAAATTAAAATTTTATCATTTTGCAATTCTCGATATAATTACTGATTTAAAGAAGCATCATCAGTGAATACAAAAACCTCTGAATGAAAAGCAGTTGGTAAACAGACAGTCCACAGTCTCAAAGCATCCCCTCACAGATTACTACTAATGTCAAAGAAGAAAATAAATCTTTAGAACGGAGAGATCTGGCAATCACCTTTAACCAAGAACTGAAAGTTATCACCAATAATGGAACTTATTTAGATGCCTCCTGTTTTGATGCAATAATTAGTAAACAACGTCACCTATATGAATAGGGTAATCATATAATTTATCAGTTAAATAGCCTCATTTCTAAGAGTAAAAAGCAATCTTATTAATAATTATACCAAAACAATAGTTATAAACTGGAATTGTCATGGGAAATCCTGGATTTATTCTTATCTGTAAGGATCCTTGCAAAAAATTTTAAACTGAATCTAATCACGATGAAACATTCAGACAACTGACCTGTCCACTTCACACAATTCTAAGTCATGAAAAACAAAAACAGGGAACTGTTCTACATTAAGAGAGAATGGAGAGACGTAACCAAATGGAATGTGAGTTTACATACCACATCATACATCAGAGGAAAAAAAGCTACAGAATATATTTTTGGGTCAATTAGGGAAATGTGAATTTGGACTGTATATTAGACATTACAGAAGTTTTGTTAATTTCTTAAAGTGATAATGATACTATGATCATGCAATTATTCTTAAAAGATGTACACAGGCATTTAAAGGTGAAGTGTTGTAAAGCCTACATCCTTCTTTCAAAAGGTTCAACCAAAAAAATATGTATCTAAGTATACAACACACATAATACAGAAAAGAGAAATAAAGCAAATGTGGTAAAAGATGTATGGGTAGTTAATGCAATTCTTCTAATGTGTCTGTAGACATGAAGTTTTCTGAAATGAAAGTTGGGGGGGAAAAGCAATACAAAAACAATTTTTTTTCTTACCTTGAAGTCTCTCATCAGTGAATATTTTGTTTGTTTGGTTCCAGGTGCTATCTATAAATATAATTTTTTTCAGTGTTGTCTCTTTGCACTTGTTGTCATTCAAATCTTGTTCTTCAGTTTTCTTGCGTTTACTAGATGGCTTGTCAGGGTCATCATTTTTGCCTCTCACATTATTTTGAATCCTTTTTTGCAGATGAAAAGAAATATCTTTTATTGAGACAGACTTAGGTCCAGGAAAAATGAGCGCAACCTAAAGCAAAGAAACTTAAGTTAATAGTTGTGATTATGCTCAGAATGAATAAATTCTGACTTAAAACTTTAAGAGAAAAAAAATGAATATCTAAGAAACAAGCATTAGCTTCTACTACATCCACTTCTTCAACACATATGGTAAAGTATTTGACTCTTTCCAAGTAATTTATAATCACTGTATACTACCTAAAAGTTTTATTTCAAAATAAGTTATTCACCTGTGGATAGAAACCTAGTTAATTGTACCTTGAAAGAGAAAACTAAACTTTATAATATTTCATAAGATCAAAGGCAAAGTCTGTGATATTTTGTAAAAGAACCATTGAAAAGTGCTCAATAATTAAATATCATTTTTACCTATATAATAGACAAAACAAATGATACACAGTCAATACTGGTAAGCAATTTGGCAACTTGAAGAGTTTTGAAATGTTCACACTCTTTCATCAAATAATTTCACTTGTGGGCATTTAATAAAATAACCTTAAATACCCACATACCCACCACACCCATAATATTTATTAAAAATATATCTATTACAGTACAAAATTAAAACTGAAAAATCTAACTTTAAAGGAAAAATTCTATAAATTATAGTACTTCTTTTAGCATTTTACTGAGACTTTATACTCCTAGAGCCTTCAATGAAATGTCTGAACGGCTGCTATTACAAAGCAGGCATCCAGTAAATATTTGTGAAATGAGTAGATGTTGGTAGAATTATGAGTATTTTATCCCCCATACTTTTCTGTATTTCCCAAATTTTCTTTAACAAGCATCATTTTAATATTAAAAATAAGCATTCTAAAAATAAAAGAAACAACAAATCTTGAATTTTTAAACTTCAAAGTTATATACAAGTTGCTTAAACATCCACAATCCATGCCAATATTCCCCCTGCACTTAATTAGCAAAGTCTAGGGGTTTTAGATTTTCTTGGATTATAAGATATCACATCACTTTATTGAACCTAGCACTGTGTTCTATTTAATTAACATAAATTATACCTAGTTGACCAGAGAAGGAAATGCAAATATATTCCTAGATCCAAAATTCAGGTATTATTTACAAACACAATTTTCTATATAAACTCAATAAAAAACATACTTATGAAAAAGGAAAAACCAAGTTCTTTTTTGAACAACTGAGTGTATGTATTAATTTTTAATTTTGTTCCTGATTAACACCACCAATAAATGATCCCCAATATACCTAAAAGGGCTTACAAGTTTCTTTAAAAAGTACCCAATGCCTACTTCTTTTTGAGATCTATTACAAAAGTGCTTTTCAACAAGGCCAGTAATATCTCACCAATGTGAAATTTCAACTATGCAAAAACCAATTAGGAATCTAGAAATGAGCAAGGAAGGCCTCTCAGCTGACAAAAGAAATGTTACAAAGGCCATATACTAAAGCTCTAAAATTCCTGAAATTTTTTTTTCATTCAGTCTTTCTTTCCTTCTTTTGGAGAAATTCCAATAATGTTTGTACTCTGGTTTCTCAGTTCGCATTAAATTAGACCACCTATGTGTTGTATAGGCAGGACAATGAAGTGGGGAGAAAGTAAAAGTGGGCATAATAATATTGGCAAAGTGTAAAAACTTAAAGAATTCAGAAAAAAATGATAAAAAGTGGAGACTCAAAAAAGTCTAACAAATCTAGAATCGTCTGATCTCTTCAGATACCAATGAAATGAAGTGTATGTTGTTTAGTGCTAGATATAAGGATAACCCTAGATCATTAAGAAAAGTATTAAATTGTGTTCAAGTAAGTTCAGAACAACACTGGAATTTAAAGTTCATTTTTAGATTCAATGTGCACAGTTGCAAGAAATAAGCTACCTACTTCATGGTCCTCTTCTTCATATTCCGGAATACAAGGGTACGTGTAAATATTTACAAATTCAGGTGCTAAAAGTTTCGCGTGGATAGCAGTACTTTTGCCATCTGTTTCATTTGGATGTTTAATGATGTCAATCTTCAGTGGAAGCTAAAATTAAAAAATAAAAGTGAACAAGCCATATATTAAAATTCTAATTAGTATGTTAATACAAATGGTCTTTAAAGCTTAAACAGCAAACTCACACTACATCTCTATAAATATACTTATGGTTTGAAAATAATCCATTTCTACACCAGGCTGTTAAGAACAATAAGAATCATAAACCAAATCCAAATTTCTTCCTCGATATTGTTAATCATATGATAGAACTATTTTAACTCATTTAACAGAGAATCTGCTCTTAAAGCAAAGCTCCAATGTCATTTTCATTTATGTTACAAAGCCATTGAGTCCAATCACTTCTATTTCAGCATCTCTGCCAATAATATTTTTTAGAATTCCTATAAGCTTCAGATTTGTTCATTTTATGACATGTAAGAGGAAATAAAAGTTTGGGCAAAGTTTCATATCTAAAATTCAAGTTAAAATGTTGTTCCTTATACATCCTTTGACGTCATATATCCAATTATCCTTAGTTGTAAACATCATCATTCTCAGAAGTGTCTTTTAACAACACAAATGAAATAATTATCAACTGAAAAAAGCAGTAACAGAATGGACCTAGGAGGTGCATTCTATGGGTAAAAATAACTCTCTCAAAATGACTTGGCCTATTTCTCTTAAAGTTTAATTATTTATTATGGGTTGTCCTTTCTCTATGCAAAATTAATATTATTTTGCATTTTTTTAGTTATATTTTCCTATTACTTTACTGATGTGGTTGGGTTTTCTGCATAATGCTTGTGCAAGTGCTGCACTCAGCCATGATTATGAAAATGAAAGCTTAGTCATCTCTCTCCCACTATACATAAGAACCCTCTCTGAGATGGACTTGGCACTGCAGGTTTCAAAGGACTTATTGTTATGAAAGCACTCTTCCAGCTCCTGTCCTACACTAAACAGGCAGCACCCTAGGTGTTTACCCTGAACACACAGCTATTTTACCCTGGAGTACAAAACAATTTTTTAAACGGCTTTATTAAAGAGAAGAAACTGATACAATAAACTACACACACTCATAGTGTACAATCTGATGAGTTTTAACATGTTACACCCTTGAGCTCATCACTACAATCAAGATGATGCACATACCTATCACCCCCAAAGTCTTCTTGTGCTTCCCTTTGTCCCCAATCTCCATCAACTCTCACCCACAGTCCTTAGGCAACCACTGATGTGCTATCACTATAGATAAGCTTGATTTTACTGATTTCTATAAAAATAAAATTATACAGTATATACTCTCTTCATCTAACTTTCTTCACAAAATAATTATTCTGAGATTCATCCATGCTTCTGTGTGTATCATTAATTCCAGAACTATTTTTTTAAGGAGTAGTTGGTACATGCTACTAAATGATCTCAATGGCACGTATTTTATCTTTCCAGATGATTACGTGAAAGAGGACAAACAGTGTATGCCCCAGAAGGGCCATAAATGTTTCCCAAATAGTTTGCAATTTAGGGTTTCAAACCCAATTTCTTCTACTATCTCCATTTAAGCCTAGTGATTAGTTATACGTTAGGGCCAACTGGCTCAAATCATCAAAGCAACTTCTAGCTATAGAAAATTTACCATTTAAGTAGGCAGTTCACAAATGATTTTACATCAGTCTACTTCTGGCTGAACTCTACATCAGACTTCCCTCATGATGCTCAGTCTCAGGTGAACTATATTTCCTTTCCCCAGGGTCTGTCATTACCAGGCTAGCATTACTTTGCCCAGGGAAGGTAGGAAAAGGAAAGAAGAAAAAGAAAGCAAATCATGACCAAGTATTCTAGTACTAATACAATCAATTTCTTTTATGGCTGATTAGTAGAGCTGAAAATTCCAAAGGTGATCAACATTTTTGACCAGCCGGCTACCTTTGAAAAATATCATTTGTATCAAGGACACAGGACTGAGTGTTATTAATGTATTTTACAAACTACGTACCTAGCCCAGTGGTCGGCAAACTGTGGCTCGCGAGCCACATGCAGCTCTTTGGCCCCTTGAGTGTGGCTCTTCCACAAAATACCACGTGCGGGCGGGCATGTACAGTGCGATTGAAATTTCGTGGCCCATGCGCAGAAGTCAGTATTTTGTGGAAGAGCCACACTCAAGGGGCCAAAGAGCCACAGTTTGCCGACCACTGACCTAGTCTATTATAGACTAAAATCTATAAGCACTAGTAGAAGACAATTATGCAAATTTTGTGCTCAAGAAGTATTCCTGGGACCTAGTCCAGGTATCTGTAGTTCTCTGGAAGTTAAGCCTGAAATTTCTGATTCTATGCAAAGCACAGACACAGATCTTATCATAGAAATATATATTTGTGCTCTAGTTCACATATCTTAAAGGAAGATACTTCTTAAATAATGACAGGATAACATCAGAAGAGTTGACTAGATGCAGTTCAAATACAGATGTTTCATTTTCAAACATGTAAAGAACACCAATATGTCCTTTACCACTATGTATCCTATGAGAGATTTTTACCACAAACTTATCTGCCCAAATTTATCAAAATGCCATTAGCAGAAAGCCCTAACTAAGCCGTCCCCACAAGATTATTACTTTCTCAAAGAAAGCCTTTTAAAGTCTAGGACTTTAATAAAAATGAAGCTTCCTTTTACCTTATGATTTTCTCTTCTTAAAAAAAAATACCAAGAGCATCTTTTAATTTTTTCATGCATTTCTCATGGCACTAAAAAAAAAAACCATATTCCACATAAAAGGACAGAAATTTATGAATTTATTTCCAGACTAAAATTTAATGCTTGGGAGGTAGTTATTTACTAGTATTATGTAATTATCTTCCCTTCCCAAGCAGGCTACCTAAAAGCAAATGCTAAACAATTTGTAAAAATAAAAATAAAGTAGAAATTAGAAAGAAAAACTTAGTTTTTATTATTAATATATATTATTAATGCATCAATTTTATAAATGGCCTTTAAAATATAGTCACTTTCAAAAACTGCATAGATAAGCAGGCCATTTAGAGTTGATCAAACAGTTGGCATAGTGTTTTGAGTCATTTCTATTAAGTAGTGTACATTAGACCACTGATTTGGGAAATAATCCTCTATTATTAAATTTCTATGAGAATGTTAGCCCTGTCAATATATCACTGAATTTTATTCTGATCTTCAATCCCTTTTGACGATAACAAAAAAGTTTTATATTAAAACTTTTCATGAAATACTTTCTTTATGTGGCTATAACATAAATAGATGATAGAATAATTCTGTGTACACTTCAAAAATAATACTTTGAAATGTAACTAAATTCTTATAAGATAATCGGAAACTTAAAAATAATTATTGTCCTCAAGTTCTCAGTTTTTCTGAAATAGCTATAAAGCTGATTAGAGTCCATGCTTACTTATTCTCAACCAGTAAACTTTCTAATAGCCTGTAAGTACGATTTTAGACCCCTGAGAAGACTGTGGACTTGACAAGATAATATATAGGCTAAACTGAAATCCAAGTAACAGAATATGAGTATTAAATTATTCTTACTTCAAATTTAATGAACCTTAAGATCACCACATTAAATGTTTTAAGTGTAGTTACAACTTATTTTCTTACTAGCCAGTTCTAATGAGCTCATGTGTAATTTAGTCTCACTAATTCTAATAGGGAGGAGTCAAATTTTATACATTATTTGATTTACTCCTAGATCCCCAGTCACTGTTAGACATATTAACGTACACCTATCCTATATAATAAAAGGCTAACATGCAAATAGACCGAACAGCCGAACAACCGAACCGATTGCTATGATGTGCGCGGAACTGTCGGCCACGGTGGTATGGTGGAGCAGGTAAGTGGGGGTGCCAGACCAAGGTGGGGTGCTGGTCGATGTCATCAGGGCAAGCCTCTGGTGGTTACTGAAAATTCTTTGCTCCCGCATGCCGTGGTCCCGCCCAGCACTCACACCCGCTTCCAGCACCTGGCACTGAGTGATAGGGGCCAGCACCAGGTGCAAGTGGCAGCTGCCGGCCCGATTACCCCTCAGGGCTTCTCCACCTTCCCCTGCTCCTGAGGGGAGATCAGGGCCAGCAGCCACCTCTTGCACCCGCTGCCAGCAACGGCCCTGCTTGCACCCATAGCCGGTGCCAGAGCTGCCACTAACACCCGCTGCTGGCACCCGGCACCGGTCCCAATCGCTCAGCGCCATCAGTGGGTACAAGTGGCAGCTGCAGGCCTAATTGCCCCTGGGGGCTTCTCCACCTCCCCCTGCTCCTGAGGGGCTATTAGGGCAGCAGCTGACACTCACACCCACTGACAGTTCTGGCCCCATTCGCACCCTCTGCTGGCGCCGGCTCCAATTGCTCTGCACCCCCAGCGGGTGCGAGCAGGGCCAGCGCCGTCAGCATGTGGGAGCAGCGGTGGCGGGAGGGGCCACAGATAATGGGCTGAGACCTGACCCTGTGCCCACTGCAGCCTCACAGCCCACAGTTCCTTTCAAGGTGCACAAATTTGTGCACTGGGCTCCTAGTCTACAATAATTAAAGGGTAATATGCTAATTAGATCGGACGTCCTTCTGGATGAAGCTGAGGCCAGAGCAAAGCCCAGGTTCTGGTTGCCTGCCGGCTGCCTAAGGGAATCTGCCCGGATCCTGGGTGCCCGCTGGTGGCTGGAGGGAAGCAGCCCAGGTCCTGGAGGGAAGCCAGTGCCAGCAGCCGGGGGAAGGAAGGCCTATTCTTGCTTGAATTTTTGTGCATTGGGCCTCCAGTTCTATATAATAAAGAGCTAATATGCTAATTAGACCTGATGGCAGAACAACCTTCTGGAATGACCAGTGGGTGGGTGGCAGGGCTGTGAGGCCTACCCTTGCACGAATTTCATGCATTGGGTCTCTAGTATTTATATAAAAGCCTAAGCAACTGTTCGACTGGCCGTCCGACCGGTAGCTATGATGTACAATGACCACCAGGGGGCAGATGCTTGGCAACTGCAGTTCTTGGGTGATGCACCTGGAACGAGAGAAGAGGGAGCCAGATTCCAGGGTGTGTCATCCGAGAACCGCCCTCTTACAATCCGGGACCCCTTGGGGATGTCAGAGAGCTGGTTTTGGCCCAATCCCCGCAGGCCAGGCTGAGGAAACCCACTGGTGCACCAGGCCTCTAGTGTAATAATAAATTCTTTGATTACATAGACATAATGCTCTACAGATTTTTATACTTTATATAATAGTAGTCTTGATAAGCAACAAAAAATATAAGCCAAGTAATCAATTCACATATATTTTTAAGATCTAGCTTTAAATTACTACAAATTATAACACAGCCCAATGAGTAGTCTTAGTCTTTTCAATTTTAGTATCTTTTCGTTTTAGTCACTGACAGGTGCTCCATATTCATGTACAGGATGGAGCTAAGCCCATTCTACAAAAACCTAAACAAAAATGAAGCCTATCTCGTCCTTTGGTATATGTTTCCTCAGAGCAGTCCCAGGACCTGAGGTGGTTTTTGAAGCTCCTTCAGGCAGTCTATAAACTTGTCTCTTGTAGTATTCATGTTTATACCACATTTTTTCCAAGGTTGTAAATGAATTATAATCATTAATTTAAAAAATAATTGATTTCATTAAAAACAACACCATCTCAGACCCTAGCGTTTTGGCAATCTGGATCTGTTTTTCCAGAGACAGGAAAAACAAACAGGTTTCCAGTCTGTAGGATTACATTTCTATTAATATAATTCATTTTCCTAATGATGCTATTTATCAAGTGTATCAATTACATTAGAACAGGAAAATATGAGATGTCTTTTTAAAATCTATGTTCCTACTTTCAAACAATTAATTTCTTACCAACCTTCACAAGTGGCATCTGCTCCATAGGTACATTTTCAACTGGGACGTAACACGTATAGCAGTAGAACATTCTTGAACCACCACATTTAAGACATTTTGATCTTCCACTTTGCTGAGCTTTTTGAAGAACTTCTTGAGATGCTAAGCGTAAGTTTTGAAGAGGATCTTCTGCAGCTATGGAAGTAGTTTGTGGTTGTTGTATTTCCACCAATCTTGAACTATTTTCTTCCCTCTCTTTGAGAAATATAGGTGGGCTGAGAGACATTTTTCATTCAAACTGAAGTTTAACATCTATTTCTACAACACATTATCGTAGGTGCACTGAAAAAAAAAATAGTGTGTGTGTGTGGGGGGGGACAAAATAATAACAAAACATTTTACTCACTGTCTCCACATATAAAATTACTCAATTTAATTCACAACTGTGTGCTGTTTTTAGAATTAACAAAAGTTAACAAGTTTTTAAATTACTAAATTAGCATACTTTTGAATTAAATTTATTGGAAATACAAAATTAAAATGCAATAAACTCAAAACCATAAATTACCCTTTGGAGGGACCCTCCCATAAGAACAGAAAGGTGCTCTCTTAGAAAACTTATTTCAAATATAAAGTTTAGGTAGCAACAATCCATTTTTCAGTGGCTATCTTTGTTTCCCAAACAGTAATTTTGTTTTATAATAGGAATGCAATGGCTTAATGTAACAGCCAGGAATGTATTCAACCCAATAGGCTCTTTGAATTGATATAACATCACATCTAATCTCAACCAGGACTAATGAAAATACAAGGTTCCAATATAATCAGCAAAATTTAGTTGGTTATGTTCTAAAAGATACTTTCCTCTCCAACTTAAAACACACATAAAAAATAAAACTAAAACCCTGGCCGGTGTGGCTAGATCAGGGGTGGGCAAACTTTTTGACTCGAGGGCCACAATGGGTTCTTAAACTGGACCGGAGGGCCGGGCCGGAACAAAAGCATGGATGGAGTGTTTGTGTGAACTAAAATAAATTCAAAGTAAACATCATTACATAAAAGGGTACGGTCTTTTTTTTTTTAGTTTTATTCATTTCAAACGGCGTGGGCCGTAGTTTGCCCACGGCTTGGCTAGAGTGTCCCACTGAAGGGTCCTGTGTTCAATTACTAGTCAAGGGCAAGTGCCTGTGTTTCAGGTTATAGTCTCAGCTCTGATGTGTGGGAGGCAACCAATTAATACAGTGGTTCTCAACCTTCTGGCCCTTTAAATACAGTTCCTCATGTTGTGACCCAACCATAAAATTATTTTCGTTGCTACTTCATAACTGTAATGTTGCTACTGTTATGAATCGTAATGGTCTTAGGCGACCCCTGTTCGACCACCAAAGGGTTCGCGACCCACAGGTTGAGAATCACTGAATTAATGCATCTCTCTCACAATTGAAGTTTCTCTCTCTCTCCCCTAACCCTGCTCCCTCTAAAAATCAATGGAAAAAATATCCTCAAGTAAGGATTAACAATAACAACAACAAAATATATAAATACATATATATATATCAAACATCTATTAAAATATGAGCTGCATCTACTTTCAATTATTTGTAAAATATCCCAAAAGATAAAATATATCCCTGAAAAATAAAATACAATATTATAAATTTAAAGTTTTGTAGAGTAACATTAATATGCACTCATTCTAAGAATTCCTACTGCTTTTTTTGACACCATTCAGATTATTAGTTCTAGAAATAAAATAGGAAAATGACTTTTCCACTTAAATATTTCCTTCAAAGGATGATGGCTGCCAAAACTGTATTCAAATGCTCTGTAAGCACAATATCTTTTGAGCAGAAAGAGACTGGGGCCCTTTTGATTTTATATGCATTCCAAAACTATAAAATGATTCTCCTATTATAAAGTCTTAAGGCATTGTGGTGTTTAACTATGAGGCTCCAGGCACTCTGACAGGCAAAATACTGATTTGCAACAGGAAATGGTCTCCCAAATAGAATATGAACAAAAAGTCCAGTGGAACATAATATACAAGATAATTTACCAACAAGAAGTTTAGTGATACTAATTTAATTACTCATCAGGAGTTTATCTACCTATAACAAAAAAAGCATTAACATGCTAATTAGACTGGATGGCCGAACAACCTTCCAGACGAAGCCAGGGCTGCAAGGGCTAAGCCCCTTGCCAAAAATTTTGTGCATTGGGCCTCTAGTCTACACTAATAAAAGAGAAAAATGGTAATTGGCGTATGGCGCTACCCTTTTCATTGGCTAATCAGGGCTATATGCAAATTAACTGCCAACTAAGATGGCAGTTAACTGCCAACAAAGATGGTGGCTAATTTGCATATGTAGGCACAATGCAGGGAGGCGAAAGGGAAAGCAGGAAGAAGCCCCCTGCCACTGACAGTGATCAGAAACCCAGGGGGGAGCTAAGAGCTGGGGGGCAGGGCAAAGGCGGCCCCAGGGCCGCCTTTGCCCTGCCCCCCAGCCATGATTGGAGAATCAGGCGCCTTTGCCGCCCTGGCCAGTGATAGCAGGAAGTAGGGGTGGAGCCAGTGATGGGAGCTGGGCACGGTCGAAGCTGGCAGTCCCGGGAGCTAGGGGTCCCTTGCCTGGGCCTAAAGCGGAGCCCACGATCGCGGGGCCACTGCCACTGCGGGTCCCCGCTGCCCGGGCCGGACGCCTAGGCCAGAGGCGTTAGGCCTGGGCAGGGGCGGAGCCTGCAACCGCGGGGAGCTGGGGGTCCCCTGCCCAGGCCTAATGCTTCGGCCAGAGGTGTTAGGCCTGGGCAGGGGCAGAGCCTGCAACCGCGGGGAGCTGGGGATCCCCTGCCCAGGCCTGACACCTCTGCCGGAGGCCTCAGGCCTGGTCAAGGGGCCGATCCAGTGATTGGTGATCAGAGGGTGATGAGGGTCAACTCCTCTGGCTGAGGCATCAGGCCTGGGTGGGGGGCGGAGCCGGGGATTGGGGGGATATAATGGTCCCCTTGCCCAGGCCTGAAGCCTGGGTCAGAGGCGTCAGGCTTGGGCGGGGGGTGGAGCAAGTGATCAGAGGGAGATGGGGGTCCCCTGCCCAGGCATGATTCCTGGGCCAGAGGCCTCAGGCCTGGGCGGGGGTCAGAGCCAGTGATCGGGGGGAGATGGGGGTCCCCTGTCCAAGCCTGACACCTCTGGCGGAGGCGTCAGGCCTGGGCAAGGGGCCGATCAGGCGATCGGAGGGTGATGGGGGTCTACGCCTCTGGCCGAGGCATCAGGCCTGGGCAAGGGGCAGAGCCAGCAATCGGAGGGGTCTGGGGGTCCCCTGCCCAGGCCTGACGCCTGGGCCAGAGGCATCAGGCCTGGGCTGGGGGCAGAACCAGTGATGGGGGGAAATGAGGGTCCCCTGCCCAGGCCTGACACCTCTGTCAGAGGCGTCAAGCTTGGGCAAGGGGCCGATCCTGCGATTGGAGGGTGATGGGGGTCAACGCCTGAGGGCTCCCAGTATGTGAGAGGGGGCAGGCTGGGCTGAGGGACACTCCCCCCCACACACACACACCCAGTGCACGAATTTTGTGCACCGGGCCCCTAGTATATATATAAAAGCCTAAGTGACCATTACAACCGAACAACCGGTCAACCAGTCGCTATGACGCGCACTGACCACCAGGGGGCAGACACTCAACGCAGGAGCTGACCCCTGATGGTCAGTGTGCTTCCACAGCCAACCTCCTATGGTCCCTCACCCCGGTCGGCCACCCTCCCACAGCCCCACCCACACCCGGATGGACCCCGGTTTGGCCTCAATCGCCGGCCAGGCCAAGGGACCCTACCTGTGCATAAATTCATGCACCGTGCCTCTAGTAGATTATAAATTCCAGGGAGCTGGAGTCCCAAAGAAGAAATGCAAAGGAAAACAATGATGTTCATTAAAGGAAAAATATACTTGCAAAATTTACCCAAGGGGAAAATCAAAATACTGTATAATAAACATTTTTGATGTGTACAGATCAGGTATAGATTTACATTTTTGATTTTTCAGAAAAAGTGCTATTTCAGAATAATAGTCCAATCACTTTTTCTTGTCTCACAAATGGAAAACATCATCTACTTCTGACCCCCACACCAAATCACCTACTCCAAAACGGCTTCTATCTTTGTGACTATGCTCTCAATGACTAGAACAGTGCAGGATATTAAGCAGCCACCTTTTCTTGAGCCTCAGATCCTTTTAAGATCACTTGAGAGTCTCACACCTTACAGCAAATGAATTTTACAGACACAATGTTTTTCTCACAATTTCATGAGATTTGTAGATCAGTAGAATTCATCTACAGATACATATAAAGAAATCCTAAGATCAAAAACTCATTCTAAGTACAGGAGGCAGCCTTAAAAGTCTAAATTTGGAGGGGAAAAAAGTCTAAATTTGGGTTTGTTCTGGTGTTGCCTGCAGTCCTTACAGAGAAACATTTTTAGGCTATACCAATCTTGAGTTACTTCAATCACAGGACTCCTCCCAAAACAAACAAACAAAATGGATTGGACTAATTCATTTCCCTGGGTATTCAATGGAAAACTAATGGTGCATTTTTTCTAGGGCTCTCAACATGCACTCCTTTTGAGATGCCTCAGAAACATCCCCTATACTTGGGCTTCCATCCATATAACTAAATAGATATTAGTGGAACCTTATATAAATATTGTTCCCCTACAGAAATCAGCTATAAATACCTGTGAGACAGTGAAAGGGGCATGTTTATGACTCCCTCCCCTGACTCACCTACACACACTCATTTATGGCTGATGTGGCCACAAAGAAGAGGTCAGCAGTAGTAGGTCATGGGCAGCTACCTCCAAAGGTCTCTGAAACCATATGACCAGCCAACAGCCTGCCTCAAATGTGTACAAATTATGTGTTGCAAACGTGATGATTCAAAACCTTCAAAACATACTTGTTAACACCAAATATATGCATGGGAGTTATTTGGAAAACATAAAGAGACTTTATATATGTTTGCTGATACAGTTCCTAGGGCAAGGGAAACAAAAGATAAAATAAACAAGTGGGACTACATCAAAATAAAAGGCTTTTGCACAGCAAAGAACCCATCAATAAAAGGAAAAGGGAGCCCACTACATGGGAGAACATATTTGGCAACAATACATCTGATAAAGGGTAACATCCAAAATATATAAGAAACTCATACAGTTTAACAAAAGGAAGACAAATAATCCAAGTAAAAAAATGGGCAAAGGACCTAAATAGACACTTTTCAAAAGAGGACATACAGAAGGCTAAGAGACATATGAAAAAAATGATCTAAGTTACTAATCATCAGAGAGATGCAAATTAAATGACAATTAGGTATCACCTCACACCTGTCAGAATGGCTACCATCAACAAATGACAAGTGCTGGTGAGGATGTGGAGAAAAGGAACCCTCATGCACTGCTGGTGGGAATGCAGACTGGTGCAGCCACTATGGAAAACAGTGTGGAGTTTCCTCAAAAACTTAAATATGGAACTGCCATTTGACCCAATGATTCCACTTCTAGGAATATTTTCTAAGAAACCTGAATGACCAATCAGAAAGAATGTATGCACCCTTATGTTCATAGCAGTGCAATTTACGATAGCTAAGACTGGAAACAGCCCAAGTGCCCATTAGTAGATGAGTGGATAAAAAAAAGCTGTGGTACATTTACACCATGGAATACTATACGGTAATAAAAAAGGACCTCGTGCCCTTTTGAGACAGCATGGAGGGACCTGGAGAGTATTATGCGAAGTGAAATAAGCCGGTCAGAAAAAGATAAGTATCACATGATCTCACTTATATGTGGAATCTAAAGAACAAAATAAACTTATGAATAAAATAGATCCAGAAAATAGAAGCATGGAACAGACTGTTGAACCTCAAAGGGAAGGCGGGGGTAGGTGGGTAGGTAGGAAGAGATTAACCAAATTAACTTTTATGCATATATGCATCACCCATGGTCACAGACAATAGTGTGGTGAAGGCCTGGGGTGGGGGACAGCTGCAGGCTAGAAGGGATCAATGGGGAAAATTTCAACAATCAAGATTTTTAAAAAAATAAGTGGGGAGGAGGGGGAGACTATTCCTAAGGAACTAACTAGTACATCCATCATTCTGGGACTTAGATTGAAAACAAATCCTCCTTCTACCCTATCCCCCCAAAACACGAATTACTCACCAAGTCGCATCAATTCTACCTGGCACATAATCCTCTACTTTTAGTCTCAAAGTCAGGATTCTAGATAGTCTATGGCAATCTCTTACATCTCTACCTCTGTGCACTTATTGATTCCACATATTTAACATGGAAAAATGTACCTTAACTTCGAGTACCTTTGAGTGAAGTTATGTGTCCTAGCAGACAGTCAACTCTGCAAGGGCAGACCTCTTTACTTGTCTCACCTATCCCTGTGTCTAATGCAGCAGGAGTCAGTCAACAAATACTTAACCAAACCAAAACCATTCTAAAAAAAAAAGAAAAAGAAAAAGCATACTGTATGCATCTTGCTACTGAAGTTCCTGACAAACTAATTTTATGGGCCAAATGCAGCCTGACATAAAAAATGCAGCCTGGCAGACCTCTTTTTGCAAAACAGTACTCATGGAAAGGCTCGTAACTACAACCAAGTTGACTCACCTCCTAATGAAACATTACAGAAGACTGTCCTGCATTGTAGGTGTTTTTCTTTTTATTAAACCCCCTTCAAATATTTCTTTGCGGGAATATTTGTAAGAACCTGGTCACGTAACATATACAGATCTCACATCCACTCTTTAAATTCCAAGGTATCACCTTTTTCCGCACAGGACCCAGGGGCCCTCCCAGACCACCCCGGGCGGGGGGCAGCCGGTACTTCGTAGTCACTTCGTAGTCGTCCCGGCGCACCGGCTTCAGACCGAAGCAGCCCTTAAACGTTGTGGTTTTAGTGGCGGCTTTATCCGCCAACTCCACGGACTTGCCATCTCAGAGTGATCATATATTTCCTTACTTGTCCTATATTCCCTCCAAATAACTTAGCCATAGGTAACAAGCTCCTTTGCTTATTATGTAAGCATTATCTTAATATTTCAAATATTACAATGCATGGCACACCACGTCTGTGCTGCGTTTCTCCTGCCGCAAACCACTCCGAACACTAAAAATACAAAGAATAAAGTAGAGTCCCTAGAGACTAACTTTGCCAGGACAGACTTTCTTTGAGACGGAAAGCACCGAAAATAATTGTTGGAAGGGGTGGGGGGAGGTATTTTTTTCCTTTTTTTTTTCTTTTTTGAGAAAAATCTGGAAGTGTTTTTCCCCGAAGGGCCCACAACAACCAAAAAAATGCAAGCGCCGCGCAGGGACCCCGGAACGACCTCGGCGAGGGCTCGGCCGACGGCGCGTCCACTCCCCGCGGCCGCACGGAGCCCGCCGGGGCACTGGCGCCCAGAGGGGCGCGCACACCGGCCCGGGACACCGGAGTGGGACTCAGACCTGCCAGCCCGCGGTCCTCGCTCAGCTCCACGCGTCCTCCGCTCCCCCGGAGCCCGCGGCGAGCGCCCGCCCTGCTCGTGCACGAACGCGAACGCGGCGGAGCGCTTTCCGGGCGACACCGGAGGGAGGAGCCGGCCGTTGCTAAGGCCGTTGCTAGGCCCAGCGCGGCGCCGCCCGGCGGAGGAGGTAGCGGGCGGGGGAGACGGCGCGGAGGGCTCGGCCGGGAAGTCCCGCCTCAGCCAGTCGGTGCCGGCGGGTCGGCCTTGGCCTGCGGGAGCCGGGCCGGCCCAGTCCGGCCCGGGAGCCGACCTCACAACTCCCGGTGCCCTTCTCAGCCCAGCCGGGCTGCAGGAGGGGACGCGCGGTTCTGGGAGACCCTCTCAAGGCGGAGCTGCAGTGAGTTTGAAATGCGGGTCCCACCGAACGCGTGTCCGTGCTACCAACCCCCAGATCCCCCTCCTGAGAACTGGGTGCTTGCATATGGCTCTGTCAAGACACGTGTTTGTAGTTTGATGATTTGGTTTGCTTAAAAACTACACAGGCCTGAAGAGGTGGCACTGTTTTTGTGCACTTTTCCAGTCTGAAATTAAGCACAATGTATGGATAGATTCCACGCCCCCCCCCCACCCCCTTCCAAAGACAATCCAAACCTAAAAAGTGGGTAACAACTGAGAGTTGGAAATACAAGGGCTAGATATTGTGTCCTATGAATTCAGCAAGTGAAATACAGGACAGAACCTTGCCCTGGAGGAGTTTACCATATCAAGTTAAGCATGGGTAGTACAGAAAATGTAGTATGACTAACAAATTGTAGGGTTTTCAAAGCAGCTCAGAATGGACTGGCCAATGAAGGCTCCTTGGTTGGACTTGAGGAAGGCCTTTTGCTCAAGCATGACTGCAGTCTCGAGTAGTGTTTGTCAAGGGGATTGTGTGGGACCCGTTGGTGGAGGTCCTATGTGTAAGCAAGGAAATCTATTTAGCCAAAACTTGCGCTTTTAAAAAATGAAGTCATATAATGTGGAAATATTGGTGCATGGCACTTGGTAAGGTTAAGAATCGCTTTATGGAGTTTTAAATTATTGCCGCAACCTTCGGGGCGAGGCTCAGGATCTGAAGGAGGGGCCGACGCACAAATGAAAATGCTATTCAAGAAATGTGCATTGAGAAGGCATTGGGGGGCCGGGTGGAACCTCTTTTCCTGAAGAGGCACACCGAGGTCTGGCCTAGTCCGGTTTTTGTTCAGTTTTAGATACACAGCTTGCCCTCAGTAAAGCATGGCAAGCACATATCAGACAGACAGTCTCAAAGGTCAGTAATGACCAGAAAGGTCCAGTAAACGTTTACTTGGAGGCCATCAGGTCAGGAGGTTGCTTCGGGCCACCGCTAGCTCAACATGAACAGTCGGTGCCTAGTGTCAGCCTGCTAACCCTCAAGATCCATCAGCCTCCCGCGTTCCTTGGTGCATGCTCATGACAGTATTGGCAAGCGGTGGCTTCCCACAAATTATGTATGTGTATACACACACACACACACACACAATTTATATAGTACACTAGGTCATGTTTATAAAGTCTATTTCTTATTTTGTGTTTTTCTTTAAAAAGTTTGAAAGCCACTGCTTTAGGGGAGAAAGATGAACTTTCTAGGTAAGAGAAGTAGCAATAACGAAACTCTCCAAGCCAAGAATATTCACATCTTTTTTCTTCTGTAACTGCTTTAGTTCAAATGCACAGATTACAAAACAAATGATATGATTAATTAATTGGAGTTACTATTGCTCTGCAGTAAGTTACTCCAAAATATGTGTCTTAAAACAAGCATTTTATTATGTTCATGAATTGTGTGTTCAATAGGGCACAGAAGGACAGCTTTTTCCGATAACTCAGCTGGGAAGACTATGAATGCTAGCAGAGCTCCTATGTGTGGTCTCTCCATGTGGCCTGGGCTTCCTCAGAGCATGGCAGCCGTGTAATGAGACTTCCTAGTGTAGGCCCAGTGCTCCAAAGTCAAATGTTGCAATGGACAAGGCAGAAACTACATGTCCTTTTTTTTTTTTTATCTAGCCTCAAACAGTAATATGGTGTCACTTCTCTCACATTTTTTTGGTTAGGAATCACAAGGCCTGTCCAGAGTTTAGGAGAAGAGACATAGAAGTTGCTTCTCTAAAGATTGTCAAAGAATTTGTGTTCATATATATTTTTTTTAACACCAACATAGTGAATT